GAGGTACCCACTTCTCCTATTATTACTTCCATAGCTCCTATTCCCACAGCTACTACTGATTTGCCCCCTGAGCCGACACATATGAGTTCTCCACCATTAAAGACACACACAGATAGTACTCAGTCAGTGCAGGGATCAGGTACCGGGACAGTTCCTCAAACCACTCTTGCACAGGGGTTGTTGGCTGAGATCAGCTCAGAGCGACATGGTGTCAAGCATATGCTGATTGATCACTTTAAGAAGGACCATGGAATGAAAGTTGGATCTACCATGAGATTTGCTATTGAAGACTCGGTTTTTAAGCTCTTTGGAGAGGGACCTTCTGTGAGTAAGACTCTTACGCATACACCTTCACCTGGTCCTTCTATCACAGCTCCTACACACAATAAGGTGAAAGAACATATACAGAGAGACATGGATGGCATGGGCCTTGGAAACTGCATGCAAAATGCGGAAGACGATGTCCCTACAGCAAGCAGGTCAATCTCCCACGATTCAGATGTCGTAACACAGAACACCATGAGATTAGACACACCTACGACTAGTACAATGAGATCAGATGCACCCGCTTTTCGCCCGACATTCAGTGCACCACCATCCTTATCACCAAAGCAGGTTCCTACACGCAGGCGAGACCCCTCTCCAACGAGCGAGCCAGACATCGCAGACTACTATGATCCAGAAATGTTTCAAACCAAATGCATGACCCGATGAATGTCTATGTACTACCACCCGAAGATTTACCCTCGGGAATACCCTTAAGTACCTTTCATTAGTTTTTGTTCGTGTCTTGTTTACTGTGATTGCATTTTATCTTCAGATATTTGTTACAATTTACATTCGCTGGAGGTCAGGTCCATGCCCCCCTCCTCCCTTTGTTTGGGAGCTTTTCATTATATAAAATAAACCACACTAGTGGTATTTGCTTAAAAAAAAAAACCCTAAACCCTAAACCCTAAACCGCAAATGCTCCTATCGAGGTACCCACTTCTCCTATTATTACTTCCATAGCTCCTATTCCCACAGCTACTACTGATGTACCCCCTGAGCGGACACATATGAGTTCTCCACCGTTAAAGACACACACAGATAGTACTCAGTCAGCGCAGGGATCAGGTACCGGGACAGTTCCTCAAACCACTCTTGCACAGGGGTTGTTGGCTGAGATCAGCTCAGAGCGACATGGTGTCAAGCATATGTTGATTGATCACTTTAAGAAGGACCATGGAATGAAAGTTGGATCTACCATGAGATTTGCTATTGAGGACTTGGTTTTTAAGCTCTTTGGAGAGGGACCTTCTGTGAGTAAGACTCCTATGCAGACACCTTCACCTAGTCCTTCTATCACAGCTCCTACACACAATAAGGTGAAAGAACATATACAGAGAGACATGGATGGCATGGGCCTTGGAAACTGCATGCAAAATGCGGAAGACGATGTCCCTACAGCAAGCAGGTCAATCTCCCACGATTCAGATGTTATAACACAGAACACCATGAGATTAGACACACCTACGACTAGTACAATGAGATCAGATGCACCCGCTTTTCGCCCGACATTCAGTGCACCACCATCCTTATCACCAAAGCAGGTTCCTACACGCAGGCGAGACCCCTCTCCAACGAGCGAGCCAGACATCGCAGACTACTATGATCCAGAAATGTTTCAAACCAAACGCATGACCCGATGAATGTCTATGTACTACCACCCGAAGATTTACCCTCGGGAATACCCATGAGTACCTTTCATTAGTTTTTGTTCGTGTCTTGTTTACTATAATTGCATTTTATCTTCAGATATTTGTTACAATTTACATTTGCTGGAGGTCAGGTCCATGCCCCCTCCTCTCTTTGTTTTCCCGCTTTTCATTATATAAAATAAACCACACTAGTGGTATTTGCTTAAAAAAAAAAAAACCCTAAACCCTAAAACCCTAAACCCTAAACCTGATCCACCACCGAAACCACCGGATTGCACCACTCCAAGTGGTGGAAAATCATCACCAACAACCACCCAAATATCTCCTATAACACCAATATCAGATTCAACCCCCAAGTCAATAGATCTAAGTTTGAAAAATCATGGCACGAATCCCAATGTCATCGAAACACCCACTTCTGATCAGAATTTGGATATGGGACCACCACCAATGAACTCAGAAGGCCCAAAAACCCCTGGGGTGGTGTCCTCGACGTCCAATTTCGCCGGAATTGAAACTTTGGAAAAAGTGCAGCCCGAAACTGATTTGAAATTAATTCTTGTACGAAGCTCCAACAGAGAGACGCGCCACATATTCAGAATTCCCATGAAATACCGAACCTTTGGTCAAAAAATCACGGCAATCGGAGGTCGGACGCTCCTGTTACGGCACCAAACGTAAACGGGCAGTTTGTCAAAAAATTATGATTTCCGGCCTCTACGGTTCTCACCACGGGAAACGCGCCTGACCCCGTTATTCAGCATGAAATTCTGCACAAGACTGTTGAAAATCATAAAATTCTGCCTCCGGTTGATTTTGGCAGGAAAACGGAGCCGCTAGCGGCCGGCCGGCGGCATTCTGGTGACCCTCCGGCAACTTTTGTCCAAAATATTCTTCCAGTTAATCTAAATCCATTTTCGTCATCGATTTTTCCACATGAGGCCCAGACAGTGCTCAATCAGGGATGAAAGACCTATGCTACTGCAGTTACTAGCCGTCCAAGCCTATCTCAAGCTGAGCGGAGTTCACGGAAGTCGTTTACATCGGTTATACAGGGTATAGATGACTCTTCCACTGTTGGGTTTGCTGCTAAAGAACCCTTTATACATATGGGTGAGCCGGCAGTGATTTTGACTGAGTCCGAGGAGGCTACACTTGCTGATCCTTACAAGTATACACTTGTGGGGAAATTTCCACATCGCAAGCCAACCATGAAGAAGGTACGTTAGAATTTTTCTAAGTTTGGGTTCCATGGTTGTTTCGAGGTGGGACTGATTGACACAACACACATTCTTATACACCTTACACATGAGGAGGATTACAGCAGGCTTTTTCTTAAACCTTCATTGTATATTGACGGTTGTCCAATGAGAGTCCTTAAGTGGACATGTGACTTTACACTGAGCAAGAGACTCCGATAGTTCCCGTATGGGTATCGTTCCCTCTGCTTCCAGTACATTTACGTGCGAAGGGGTTCCTTTTCGCCTTATCTAGGGCAATAGGAATGCCCTTGAGAATTGATGAGGCCACCACCGACTTGAGACGACCTAGTGAGGCAAGGGTGTGCATTGAGGTAAATTTGGGGCATAAGTTGCCCGACAGGGTTTGGATTGAGCGCGCTGATAGCCGTGGCTTCTGGCAGACAGTTATCTATGAGAAGCGGCCAATTTTTTGCTTCTCTTGTAAACACTTGGGGCATTCTTATGATCAGTGTACTACGGTTCCTCCTCCTCCTCCTACAGTTGTTGTGCACCCCCCTGTTCGACCCCCTATTACTAGGACTGATAAGGATAAGGGCAAGGTGACGTTTGTGGAGCCAAAGAAGCAGTGGGTTCCAGTTTCACACATATGAGTTCTCCACCATTAAAGACACACACAGATGGTACTCAATTAGCGCAGGGATCAGGTATCGGGACAGTTCCTCAAACCACTCTTGCACAGGGGTTGTTGGCTGAGATCAGCTCAGAGCGACATGGTGTCAAGCATATGTTGATTGATCACTTTAAGAAGGACCATGGAATGAAAGTTGGATCTACCATGAGATTTGCTATTGAGGACTTGGTTTTTAAGCTCTTTGGAGAAGGACCTTCTGTGAGTAAGACTCCTACGCATACACCTTCACCTAGTCCTTCTATCACAGCTCCTACACACAATAAGGTGAAAGAACATATACAGAGAGACATGGATGGCATGGGCCTTGGAAACTGCATGCAAAATGCAGAGGATGATGTCCCTACAGCAAGCAGGTCAATCTCCCACGATTCAGATGTCGTAGTACAGAACACCATGAGATTAGACGCACCTACGACTAGTACAATGAGATCAGATGCACCCGCTTTTCGCCCGACATTCAGTGCACCACCATCCGAACAGTACTTATCACCAAAGCAGGCTCCTACACGCAGGCGAGACCCCTCTCCAACGAGCGAGCCAGACATCGCACACTACTATGATCTAGACGCATGACCCGATCAATGTCTATGTACTACCACCCGAAGATTTACCCTCGGGAATACCCTTGAGTACCTTTCATTAGTTTTTGTTCGTGTCCTGTTTACTGTGATTGCATTTTATCTTCAGATATTTGTTACAATTTTCATTTGCTAGAGGTCAGGTCCATGCCCCCCTCCTCTATTTGTTTTCTCGCTTTTCATTATATAAAATAAACCACACTAGGGGTATTTGCTTAAAAAAAACCCTACACCCTAAACCCTACACCCTAAACCCTAAACCCTAAAACCCTAAAACCCTAAACCCTAAACCCTAAACCCTAAAACCCTAAAACCCTAAACCCTAAACCCCAAACCCTAAACCCTAAACCCTAAAACTTTTGATCAGAATGTTGTTCCAATTAATCTGAATCCATTTTCATCATCGGTTTTTCCACATGAGGCCCAAACAGTGCTCAATCAGGGTCGAAAGACCTATGCTACTACAGTTTCTGGTCGTCCGGGCCTGTCTCAAGCTTAACGGAGTTCACGGAAGTCGTTTGCATCGGTTATACAGGGTATAAATGACTCTTCCACCGCTGGGTTTCCTGCTAAAGAACCCTTTATACATATGGGTGAGCCGGCAATAGTTTTGACTGAGTCCGAGGAGGCTACACTCGCTAATCCTTATAAGTATACACTTGTGGGGAAATTTCCACATCGCAAGCCAACCATGAGGAAGGTACGTGAGATTTTTTCTAAGTTTGGGTTCCATGGTTGTTCCGAGGTGGGACTGATTGACACAACACACATTCTTATATACCTTACACATGAGGAGGATTACAGCAGGCCTTTTCTTAAACCTTCATGGTATATTGATGGTTGTCCGATGAGAGTCCTTAAGTGGACATGTGACTTTACACCTGAGCAAGAGACTCCGATAGTTCCCGTATGGGTATCGTTCCCTCTGCTTCCAGTACATTTACGTGCGAAGGGGTTCTTTTTCGCCTTATCTGGGGCAATAGGAATGCCCTTGAGAATTGATGAGGCCACCACCGACTTGAGACGACCTAGTGAGGCAAGGGTGTGCATTAAGGTGAATTTGGAGCATATGTTACCCGACAGGGTTTGGATTGAGCGTGCTGGTAACCGTGGCTTCTGGCAGACAGTTATCTATGAGAAGCGGCCAATTTTTTGCTTCTCTTGTAAACACTTGGGTCATTCTTATGATCAGTGTACTACAGTTCTTCCTCCTCCTCCTACAGTTGTTGTGCACCCCCTGTTCGGCCCCCTATTACTAGGACTGATAAGGATAAGGGCAAGGTGACGTTTGTGGAACCAAAGAAGCAGTGGGTTCTAGTTTCAGCAGTGCCTTCTGTGCTTCCCACTACTACTACCGCAGTTGTGACAGAGTCAGAATCTACATCGATAGTTCCTACCTCTACTCATATCACAGTTGATCTAGAGGTACCTCCGTATATTCATTCAGTTGCTGAGCCTACTCCAAATGCTCCTATCGAGGTACCCACTTCTCCTATTATTACTTCCATAGCTCCTATTCCCACAGCTACTACTGATGTACCCCCGAGCCGACGCATATGAGTTCTCCACCATTGAAGACACACACAGATGGTACTCAGTCAGCGTAGGGATCAGGTATCGGGAAAGTTCCTCAAACCACTCTTGCACAGGGGTTGTTGGCTGAGATCAGCTCAGAGCGACATGGTGTCAAGCATATGCTGATTGATCACTTTAAGAAGGACCATGGAATGAAAAGTGGATCTACTCATCTCACAAGGATGACCGCTCTTTGGGAGAAGTTCTTCAGGCTGAAACAGGGTCTGTGCTGGTGGAACCGACATGTATTTGGAGATATTTTCCAGCGAGTGCTCGATACTGAGGTATGGGTTGATGAGGCTGAGATAATATATGATAGAGATCCTACACCGGAGAACCGTAACTTACTACATCAGGCCCAGGCAGTTTTGCACCGGACCTTGTCTATTGAGGAGGGCTTTTGGAAGCAAAAGGCCGGTTCACGTTGGGCATGTGAGGGTGATCACAATACTCGATATTTTCATGCGATGGTTCAGGGGCGTAGGATCAAATCGCGTATCAGGTCTATCAGGACACAGGCGGGGGAAGTGTTATCTACTCCTACTGATATTCAGACCTCGGCTGTTGCTTTCTACTAGGATCTCTTATCTGCTCCTCCACAACCCTTGGACCACATCCGTTCTGATGTCATTCCGAGGCTATTGACGGTGGACGATAATCTGGCACTAAATCGCCCCCCTTTGATTCATGAGGTACAAGATGCAGTTTCCAGTATTGATGCTGACAGTGTCGCTGGTCCGGATGGCTTCTCATCCCTATTCTTCCAGCATTGCTGGGATATCATTCAGGAGGATGTTTACAGGGCGGTATTGGATTTCTTTGATGGTGGTCATCTTCCACGGGGTTTTGCTGCTACTTTTATTGTCTTGCTACCTAAGAAGGATGGTGCTTGCAGATGGACTGAATTCAGACCAATCAGTTTATGCACAGTGTTCAATAAGATTATTACTAAGCTTTTGAACACTCGGTTGAGTACACTGCTACCGCGCATTATTTCCTCTCCACAGAGTGGTTTCATCCCAGGCCGTCTGATTGGAGATAATGTTTTATTGGCTCAGGAGCTTCTCTACACTTTGGATGATAGAGTGCGAGGGGGAAACACTATGCTGAAGTTAGACATGGCTAAAGCATATGATCGCATGGACTGGGGCTTCATTTATTCTGTATTGGAGGCATTTGGATTTAATCAGATCTGGATTGACAGAATCAGGCCGTGCATTTCGGAGTGTCGTTTCTCCGTACTCCTAAATGGCCGCCCATGTGGTTTCTTTCCCTCCTCACGAGGACTCAGACAGGGTGATCCTATCTCCCCATCCTTGTTCATCATTACAGCGGACTACTTCTCACGCTTGCTCACTCAGAGGTTTCAGCAGTATCCCAATATGTGTTATCGACATGGAGGTAGTGCTCTTGTCTCACATCTCTCATTTGCTGATGATATGATCATCTTTGCCAATGGTCAGAAACAGTCTATCAGGAGGGTCTTAGACTGCTTGGAGCACTATGAAGGAGTTTCTGGCCAATTGGTGAATAGAGACAAGAGCGGTATTATACTATCCAGACGGGCATCCACTAGTCAGATCAGACGACTAGAGATTTTGACTGGCTTCAGACATCAGCAACAGCCTTTCACTTACTTGAGTGTCCCCTTATTCAAGGGGACTAAGAGGAGCTTCCTTTATGATGACCTTATCCAGAAGATAAGGAATAGGATATCAGGTTGGGCCTCATGATTACTATCGCCTGGGGGTCGTATTACACTACTGAGGTCAGTACTTTCTTCCATACCTTTACATCTTCTTCAGATTATGCAGCCGCCCAAGGCAGTGCTGAAGAAACTTGAGAGCATCTTCGCCCGATTCCTATGGGATTCTAAGGATCAAGCACGACGTCTACATTGGAGGAGTTGGAAGGCAATTTGCCTTCCTACTGATGAGAGAGGCCTCGGCTTTAGGAGATTACAGGATGTGGTGGACTCCTTCTCCATGAAGCTCTGGTGGCTATTCCGATCTCAGAGGTCACTTTGGGCTCAGTTTTTACTGGGCAAGTATTGTAAGGGGACGCATCCTTTACTTGCAGCAGCTCCCAATTCAGCTTCCCCTACCTGGAAGAGGCTGAAATCAGTTGGACCACGAACGGATCCACACATTGCTTGGCACCTTGGAACCGGTCAGATTTTCTTCTAGCATGATTGTTGGATGGGCGAGTCCATGTTGGCATCCCTATTCCCCCCACAGACAGCACACATCTGCGAGGGTACAGGATTTTTTTGACGACACTGGGTGGGATTTTGGACGATTATTACGGGCCCTTCCTTCTCACATGGCGGAACAGGTAGGGACGATACCTTTATGTGCAGATGCCACGGACCGAATTGTTTGGAAAATTACTTCGGATGGTGACTTTACCACCAAATCAGCATGGCAACTAGTCCGTCCGGTTCGCCAGCCTCAGGACTCATATCGACTGCTGTGGAGCTCTATCTTGCCTGCCACTATTTCATTCTTCTGCTGGAGACTGTGGCAGGATCTCATTCCAGTAGATGTTGTTATTCAGAGGAGAATTGGATGTCAGTTGGCTTCTCGTTGTCAGTGTTGTTCCGAGATTGAGACCATCAATCATATTTTCACGAGCAGCAGCATCTCCGACCAGGTATGGCAGCACTTTGGAGACATCTTTCAGATACCTATGACTTCAGGGGAGGGGGTCAGACAGAGATTCCAGAGATGGCGGTATTCTGGACAGCACGTTTACCGTGGACACATTCGTATTATCATTCCTCTACTGATATTTTGGTTTCTATGGACTGAGAGGAATGATGCGAAGCATAGAGGTATTCGTATGGTGGCCAGACGTATTATTTGGAGGGTCTACCGCATGATCTCCTTTCTTCATATGGGAGGACTATTCCGAGTTGAGCATTGGCGAGGAGATGTGACACTTGCACCTTTTTTTGGCATTTCTTTGACCCGTCCTCTCCCACCACCACCTATTATGGTTGTTTGGCGCACTCCACCAGTTGGATCCTACAAGATCAACACTGATGGATGCGTCAAAGATGGATTTGCAAGTGGTGGAGGCATCATTAGGGACCGCGCAGGATACTGTATCAGGGCATTCTCAGCATCGTATGGCCCATGTTTCATTTTGGAGGCTGAACTCAGAGCCATACTAGATGGGCTTCTATTGGCCCGAGGACTTGGGATTTCAGCTATCTGGCTCAAGGCAGATTCAACATTGGCTATTCACTGCATTACCAAAGGTGGAGGACCATGGTCGATTCAGGGTATTCTTAGACAGATCAGAGACCTCATCTACTTCGATAGAGACACGGTTTCACACATCTACAGAGAAGGCAACCAGGTTGCTGATTCTCTTGCTACAGAAGGCTAGAATCATCGGCGCTATCTAGAGTATGGACCACTAGAACTGCCTCAACATATTAGGGCGATAGTGCGGATCGACAGACATGGATTGCCCAGTTTCAGAGGTTCGTAATTTAGGCTATTCTTTATTGTATAGGGAAGTAGTACTTCCTCATTTATTGCTTTCATCTATTATATTCATTTGTTGCATCACTGCTTTTTGGAGGTCAGGTTCATGCCCCCTCCTTCCGTGTATTCTTGATTTTTATGAAATAAATATGGTTGGGGAACCCTTAACCCCCATCGACCTTCCTAGGTGGACCCTAAAAAGTCACTAAGGATGTGTGGATGTCTTTACCAAAAAAAAAAACCCTAACCCCTAAACCCTAATTTCATCATTTTTCGCGACGATGTCGGAATCAGCTAAATTTCGACAGGTTGATCGGAAACAAAAATCGCGCCTGGGGCAATTTCGTTATTTTTCGCGACGGTGTCGAAATGGGCGGATATTTGGCTGGTTGATTGGAAACAAAAATCGCGCGAGGGGCAATTTCGTCATTTTTCACGACGGTGTCGGAATGGGCTAAAATTTGACCGGTTGATCGGAAATAAAAATCGCGCCCGAGGCAATTTCGACATTTTTCGCGATGGTGTCCGAATGGGTTAAAATTTGACGGGTTGATCGGAAAAAAAAATCGCGCCGAGTCAATTTCGTCATTTTTCGCGACGGAGTTGGAATGGGCAGAAATTTGGCAGGTTGATTGGAAACAAAAATTGCGCCGGGGGCAATTTCCTCATTTTTCGTGACGACGTCGAAATGGGCTTAAATATGCACGAAGATTGGTAACAAAAATCACGCTGGGGACAATTTCGTCATTTTTCGCGACGGTGTCGGAATGGGCTAAAATTTGACAAGTTGGTCGGAAACAAAAACCGCGCCAGGGGTAATTTCGTCATTTTTCGGGACGGTGTCAGAGTGGGCTAAAATTTGACAGGTTTATCAGAAACAAAATCGCTACAGGGGCAATTTCGTCATTTATCGCGATAGTGTCGGAATGGGCTAAAATTTGACAAGTTGATCGGAAACAAAAATCGCGCCTGGGGCAATTTCGTCATTTTTCGTGACGGTGTCGAAATGGGCAGAAATTTGACAGCATGATTGGAAACAAAAATCGCGCCAGGGCCAATTTCGTCATTTTTTCGCGACGGTGTCGGAATTGGCGAAAATTTGACAGGTTTATCGGAAACAAAAACCACGCCAGGGGCAGTTTCGTTATTTTTCGCGACGGTGTCGGAATGTGCTGAAACTTGGCAGGTTGATTAGAAACAAAAAACGCGCCGGGGGCAAATTCGTCATTTTTCGCGACGGTGTCGGAGTGGACTGAAACTTGGCAGGTTGATAGGAAACAAAAATCGCGCCGGGGGGCAATTTTCGTCATTTTTCGCGATGGTGTCGGAATGGGCTGAAACTTGGCAGGTTGATTGGAAACAAAAATCGCGCCGGGGGCAATTTCGTCATTTTTCTCGACGGTGTCAGAATTGGCTAAAATTTGACAGGTTGATCAAAAACAAAAATCGGGCCAGGGGCAATTACGTCATTTTTCATGATGGTGTCGGAATGGGATGAAATTTGGC